ATAGAGGGAACCACGATTCTTAGTCAATGTTGATTAAATTAATTAAGAGAAAATTCAAAATAACGATTACTTTACTTTGTGATAGTAAAATTGACAAAAAAAATTATTAAATACGACGAACAAAAAGTAAAACCTGAAATATCGATCAAATTTTATTCATAAATTTTAAACGGGCTATAAATAAATGGATTTTAAACAGAACGCATCCTCTCATCTCTTCGTTAATAGTAGATGTCGCTGAGGTCAAAATTTATTAATAAAAAAAAAATAAAAAAAATTATTTCACTCAGCGAGCCCTTTTTTAATACTGGACAAGGGTGATGGTTCACTTAATTACTCCATTCTTATAATTAAAATTACAGGGATATACGACATAATGGCGATGGTCACGGCACTAGCATCGATTTCGCTGGAGCTTGGATTTTGACAATTCATCGAAAAACTGCTTTCCTCCAATAATTTTTAGGTTTTCACTCTCGTTGAGAACACGAACTACAACCGAACTGCAATCAGCAATCACTTGGCCGCAGCGACCCCCACAAGATATACAAAAATTATACAAAATTCTTTATGCCAAAGTTTATTAATTTGTTGCTGAACTTTTTTTTACATAACTGCACATTTGTCATTTCACGAATACATACATATGCACAGATTTTTGTACAGTTTAATAAATATATTAGTGTATTATTTTGATACTGATACAGCTGGTGTAGGCGGGGTCAAGTCAATTGATGGTGGTGTTGGTGCTGGTGTTGGAGGCACAGGTACATCTGGATTGGAAGTAACCGGACTTGGTGGGCCAGGGAAAGTCGTTGTTGTGATGGTAGTTGCAGTGCTCTTGGTTGTAGCTGGTGTTGCAGTCGTAGCATTTGTTACAGTCGTAACTTTTGTCGTTGTCGCAGTCGTAGCTTTTGTCGTTGTTGCGGTCGTAACTGTAGTTGGATACTTCGGTGTTGGATAAGTTGATGCCGCTGTTGATGCCGTCGATGGTGATACTGTTGATTCCGAGCTACCGATTGGTACACATTTGGGCGAATTTTGTGTTTTCAGACTCGAACACGGTACTGCCGGTATGTAACTGCTACATTGGGAGCATTGTTGCAATACGTAAGTAAAATATTGTCCGCTGGGGCAGGGTGTCACCACAGCTTTGCCCACGGCAATACATGAGTAGTAAGTGCTTTGATTCGCATAATTCGGCCACTTAACATATATATCATCTACATCACAAGCCGGCACTAACTCCGTGGAGTAAGTACGGAGTGCAGAACAATCAGCTGCTGCCTGATGAGCAGCCAAGATGATGCAAGCCAAGCCGAAAACTGAGGAAATAAATAAATAATTTCAATTCATATTCTGGGCCAAGTGTGAGAGAAATAGTAACTTTTGGAAATATACAGAAAACATCTTTTTCAAAGTATTTTGGTGTCCTTTTGTTCAGTTCAACTTTGCTCAAGCTAGCCTTAGCCTACCTGTCTTCATGTTGCTGTCGTTGTCGTTGTGGTTGAACTGTACGCTTCGCTGAAAACACTGATATCCCCGTTGTTCGTTCAATCCGTTTATATGCAACCTTTCTTCTTGTAAGAGTCCATATGTAAGACATACAAACACACAGAATTTTAATCAACATGTTAAGTCTTGTTAATGCAAAAGATTTTAATTAAAGCAGCAATCAATTTTTCTCAAACCTAAAAAAAAAAAAATGTCTGTACAACTTTTTATTAAAACTAAGCTGATACATACACCGTTGCTTACGCTTAAATATGTGTGTATGTATCTTCCACACTGGTTGAAATTTTGTTAACTTTTCTTATCACCAAACAAGTATAAGAATTCTGTAATTATGAACTTTATTATCGAAAGGTAAACTTTTAACATTGTGATAGAAGTTAAACCGAAAATATTTTCCACAAAAAAAATTCTTCGCAAAAATAAAACCGGAAGCTAAAAATGTTACTGAGAAGGTAAGACATTTTTTTTGGCTACCAAATTAACAACTGATAATGAGCTTCATTTATTTAATGAATGTAGGTATTTTTAAGAATTAAATACAGTTGTAAATATTTTAACATATTCACATAATACTTTCTTTTCAATATACTTATGTGTATACATTTGTTTTTGTTTTCTATGCTATTGTATTTGGTAATATAATTTTATCCCTTTCATGATCATTTCAAATTTATGCTACTTCATTTAAGGCAAGAAATTAAAACCATATATTTGTAGAGTAAGTGTTTAAAGCGATTTTGCAATGCGATTAGTATTTTTCAAATTGCCGCTTCTCGAACACACCTGTCTCACTCACGCAACGCAAAATTTCAAGAGACTTTGAACGTGTTTTTCTCTAAACCACGTTTTTCCGATCTAACCTCAAATCCGGGACTTGATCAATCCGTCCGATGTCTTTTATCTGAAAACTGTTTTAATGTAAATAGTTTTTTGTGCGTCTTGAGCCGTAAATTAGCATTACTAATTAATTATTTATATATTTTAAACCTCATTTGAATTGAAGAAAGTAGCCAAAAATCGAAATTTATAATTGTAATGAGCATTATGCTATGAAATTTATCTTTAAAATTATTTCAATTGAGATTCAGGACGTAGAAAAAGGCATGATCTTCAAGTAATGACAACGATTTTTGATTTCAGTCTATTTCCAGAGGCTGTAGGCTTGGAGTTGTTGGGCCATGGCCAGAGGCCAAAAGAAAGCGCCACTTTCCAGCCGTCATTTTGAATTTCGACTATTTTTTAGCCGTTTCAAAATCTCAAATAATAAACAAATTTAATTGTCAAAACCGGAAATTCCTTAAGGATTAAATCTGAATTCTCATATAGGCACGAATTGGTTGGAGGGAGCTATATTATGTAGTCCCCCGATATCGGCAGCAATTTTCGATCAAAACCTTGTATCTAAAAAAATCAGCTTATGGTCGGAACTATGTATGTGTTACAGTCATCTGATTGTGATCATTTTCAGAACCAATGTTTCATTCATTATATGTAAGCAGAATACCAAACCACTCTTAGTTGCTGTTTTAATGTATTTACGACTCAAAATCTCAAATTTGAAAAGTCATTCTGATCTGGCCGGTTTCGACAAATGATCGTATAAATGCACCAGTGCATCCGTGTATCAAGATTGGTTGTAATCTCGGAAAAACTAAGGGACTAGTTTGCTTGCACATAGACGTACAGACGGACGTGGCTAAGCCAACTCAACTCGTCACTCTGACCCAATCGGTATAAATTTTGATGGTTCAACCAACTCTCCTTTTAGGGATACAAGCTAAACCGGTTCATTCTCAAAAAACGGCTCCACCGGCAAGTTGTGGCCAATCTTGGAAAAGATCAGCTATTTCGCTCGAAAGTGCTGCTGAAGTTAATGGTAAATCAGCGCCGATCGATAAGTCATGCAGAGAATGGTATCGACGCTTCAAAAGCGATGATTTTAGAGGTGAAAGAGCATCCCAGTCAACCAAAAAAGTTTGAAGATGAGGAATGCTATCAAAATCAGGGAAAACTATTGATGCGAAACCTTATCACTATCGAAAACTCATGCATAAGACCGAAAGGCATGAAAAGGTGATTTTGCAACGTGACGACACCGGCCCCAAGTGGCGGTAACGGTCAAAAACTACCTCGAAACACTGAAATGAGAGGTGTTACCCCACTCGCCGTATTCCTCAGTGCACAAAGAGGACTAATTTTTTAGAGATGGCATTAAAAAATGGTGGCCACAATAGCCGAGTAGTTAGCATTGAGTATTGCCAATCGGAAGACCCGGTTTCTGAGCATGGTACGGGCAACATCCAAAAGAAAATTAAATTAAATTAGTCTAATTTTCTAATTGCGGTCGCCCCTGGGCAGAGAATTTCAGCCCCTCCAAGTGTACTTCTGACATGTAAAATAAGTATTGCCAATCTGAAGACCAGGGTTAGACTCTTAATTCGATCAATATCCTCATCATCATTACAGAAAATTTACTTTTCTAATTGCCGTCGCCCTTCGGTAGGGAATATGAAGCCATGAGCCATGAGTGTATTGCCAACATTAAAGAAAAGCTCCTCATAAAAATTCATCAGTCGCTCTGTCGTCGTTCAAAATTATACCTATGAGATCCTGATGTGATCGTGACGTAAACGTTTTTTGCCGCAGCTTTGTTATTTCTTGACGAATTTGCAATCTTAAACCCATTTAAATTGAGGCGGCTTTGGAATACTACTATTGCATTAAGTCTATGTACTATTATTTAGGTATTTTACTTTCTAATAAAACCGTTAGTATGGCTGCTTAAAACCGAAATAACAGTTATAAATCTGAGGCTCATCGAATGGATTTGGCAACCATGTGGTAAGAACATATCCCAATAAGGAGACAACATTTGATGGACACAAAAAATCATATTTGAATGATATTCAAAGACAAGGCTCTAACAATCCTCCACGGAATAACTTTGTATAACCTTTAATCTTCTGAAACTCAAAGATATTCCATCGTCGAAGCACCATAGTTATCAACAAACTGCCAATCGGTATTATACTCAAATAACTTGGTACCACCGTCAAAGCAAAAAAACAATATGGCACAATCTGGAATGCCCACACAGTAATGTGGAATGCCCATCCTAGCATGTGGCATATACATACATATTACTCATTTTCGCATAGTATTTCCTGAAATGAAAGTATGGGTAAAAAGAATCGGATCTATGTAAGCCGTCATCTAAAAGTTTCTCCAACAGAGGAGCCTATAATTTTAAGTCGCCTCCATTCAGCTGATGGGCCTTTCTGGCAAACTATTACTATCATGTCATGGTTTCAAAACCTTTTTTCTTTGTTCAGTTTTCGTCGCTTGTAATTTTTAGTTTTCCATCATGGCGTTGGTACACTTCTTATAGGATCCCACGAATTAAGACGAACATTTGTAAAATGCAATAAAAAATACCCTTGGACATTAACATTTTGCAAAACGTAAAATTTAAGATGCTTCAGCCAAATTGCGGTTAATCGATTTATTATGTTTAATATTGAAATTCCGCTTGTTTAACTGATTCTCTTCATAAAATTACATTGAATGAGGCGTAAAGATATTAAACTTATTTTTTTTTTAAACACACATTTTAAACTTGGCTGCTCTACTCTTTAGATGGAGCTGGCTTCTTAGCTTGTGGCGCCGGTTTCTTTGGCATTTTTGCTGCACTCTTTGCCGGAGTTGGTGGTTTCTTCTCTGGCTTAGTGGGCTGCTTCTTGTTGGGTGCTGTGGGTTGTTTCTTTCCAGGTGCTTGTGGCTGCAGCTTAACTGGCTTTTTGACAACTGGCGGCGTTGGTTCGGGTGTTGGTGGTAGTGGTGGGGTTGGCGGCTTTGATGACTCTGACGACGGTGATGATGAAATATCCGATGTTGTTAATTCAATTGTTGGTGGAGTTGGTGGACCATCAACTAGCTTGTCTTCCTTCGGTAGGCCAGGAAGTACTAGATCTGCCGTTGGAAGGCCATGGGATGGATATAAAGGTTTTGGCAGAGCTACTTCACTGCTGCCTGACTCTCCGTTTGTTGGTTGGTTTAAAAATTTATCGTTTTTTGATGAACTAATTGGCAGAAGATCCACTGGTGGTGCTGGTATGAACCTTCCTGGTTTCGTACAGGCTTGGAGTACGAAAGTGAAGAGTTCTCCTGGATTGCAACTCAATTTCACTTGTTTACCACCAACACGACTGCACACATAGTAATCAGAGTTACTGTAGTAGCTGGGCCAACGTATGCCGATCTCGTCGCGAGTGCATTCTAGTTGATAGTCAATGAAACCTTGTGCCACAGCTGCCAGGCAGAGGGTCGTTACGATCAGGGCGAATACTGCAAGAGTGGAAGCGGAAAAAAATTTATTTTTTAATATGTTAATTTATTAATTTCTTAACTCTTATGTATGTATGTATGGGTATACAAATTTTTTAATTGCCAACCTCTCATTTCTGGCTCTTAATTTTTATGCTGCTCCTGCTGTTGCTGCGATGGTCCGAACGTTGCCAAATTTAATTGATGAACTGTTTGATTTTTACAAGAGATCTCAATATTTATAGTGAGATTTTTTTAATTTTATCTTTGACACCTTTTTTTGTGCTTCCCGCCAGCTATGATTTCATGGCCAAAATTTTTACTAAGTAGATAGCAATCTGATTGATTTTAATGGTATCAGAAAAGTTCGACAATCTTATCTCGAAGAGGTATCATTCACATTTGCTCTTAATGAACTTTACACATGAAATTCCATTCTAGTTACAACTCTCCTGAAAAATGTCTAACTAAATAAATGTTTGTATGTATGTACACACCTAGAAAACATATGTTTGTTTGGAGATAAAATTATTGATATACTCAAGGTGGTCCATTTATGTGGCTTGTAAAATAAATTTTGTTACCAAACAAGCCGCGCCTAAAATTAAGAAAACACTTACAACTAAAACAACATATATGAGTGTTAAATACTAATGTCCTAAAATTAGAGACAGGTATGTCTGTATGTACGTCAGCGAGCCGTCTGTTAGCGTTGATTTTGTCTACACAGAAATAGTTGCTGCCTGAAAGGGGATTTTTATATGCATTGTTGTTCTTAAGTATAATTTTTTCCATAAAAGTGAGAGCTTGTAGCTGAAAGCCCATAGGAAAATAAGTATAGTGAAACAGCCAAAGAGTAGTATCGATATAGATCAACGTTTTAAAAAATTTTAGTACCCAAAACACACTTGAATGCTGCTAGCGTCAGATATCTATCTTTTACCATCTATCTTCTACGAGTAAGTATGTAAACATCTTATGTTCGTTTGTAAAACTCCTCAAACCTCCAAAAGTTATAGACCGATTAATTTGAAATATTGTCATATTATTCCAATGGTTCCTGGAAAGGTTAATACGTACGGTTTGTCGGGACTGGGACTCACTTATTCAGAAAAAATTGTATTTGTATGATAAGCACAACGAATACCCATCACCTGCCCAACCAACTCGAGGGGCGACATCCTCATAACGTACGGATTTTTTTCCGTTTGTTAAAAGTCGAAATTAAAACTGTTCCGCTACAGAAAAAAGTGTGCGAGCTGCTGAAAATTAGTAACTAAGGAATTTTAATTCTTGAGAAAAGGAGGAATAGTTTTTTGATGCCAAAAAATGAGACTGAGAGATCGAAGGTGCTGGACTGAAAATTTAAATCGCGATACGATCGATGAATTGATTCATTCGTTTCATAATTTGACTTTAATAAAAAAAGACTGAACTGTCTAGATACACGATAACAATACGCCTAACATTTCCCTACGACTTGCGAGAGTAGGTAGATTTATAGGCTTTAAACGGTTGGTATACGGAGGTAGGTTTATTGTAGATTACCATCGGAAAAGTCTTTATGTAAAAAGTAAAAATATTTTTTGAGCAAACTCTAACTTATCGGTACGAACTTGATAATTGGGGCTCCATATCAGTGAACCATATTCTAATATTGGTCTCACCAAAGTCATATAAAGTGTTTCAGTTACATAATGCACCATCTCTTGACAAAGGTAAAAGCATTTTTAGCCTTTAAGGCTGTGATATTGATATGAAGATGAGAGTGGAGCTTAGGGTCCATCATAAGCCCCAAATCCAAAAAGTTGTAGACTGCTTCTAGACTGTAGTTATTAATTGTGTAAGGAAAAGATTGAACAAATCGTAGAGATAAGCACACGATCTTACATTTCTGTAGGTTCAAAGGCATGTCGTTTTTATTACATCAAATAGATAAATTGTCTAGATCTATTGCAATAAGCGACTTTCTTCGAACGAGGAGTTTCACATCATCAGCTCATAGAAATATATACTATGGAATATATATCATTTATAAATAACAAGTACAGAATCGAACCGAGCTGGCAGCCTTGAGGAAATCCTGTCTTTAAATGCCACACGTTGGGTTCCATTACTGAGGTTCAAGGAAACCCATTAGGGAAATCTTGATAGCACACAAACAGCAAATTTGTAAGTGTTGATTTTCCGTGTTGGGAATTGAAAAGTAGTTGGGAGATCGATTTTTGCTTAAATTAACTTGAAAACTACTTTCCCAACAGAGAATGAATAAGAACTTTGGTCTACTGACCTATTCGCAAATATCGCATTTATATATTGTTTTTCTTAGAACTCAGCACATGGGTGGCTTTTTGCCTAGATTAGCATAAAAATTTGGTGCATAGATGGCTTTTTGTAAAAAAAATCGTGTTTATAGTTATTTTTGCTTGGCATTTTTTCACGGCAAGCGGATCGAACTATTTGGGAAAAATATACAATTCTTGCTTCGCTTAAGTCAAATAGGATGATATACCTAAATGGAATACTTTTGTTTCCTGGATATGAATCAGATCCCTGCAAACAAGTTTGTTTCGGTCGATATAATAAACGATAATTTCTATACTGAAAATGCCACATTTGTTAGTTGAAAATATTAGTATGATTCGGGTGTAAGCATAGACTCATAGCATCCTTATATGGCTGGAGTAAAAGAAGCTCTGCATATTTTTACAAATGGCTATGAGGGCTTCAGTTGACTACGCCCTACCAAAGTTAAGAAAATCATTCCAGCTGACAAATCAATGCATTAGTTTTCAAGACAAAAAGCCTGCGGGCTTTTATAATAACCAAATTCATATTTATAATGATAGTTAAATGCATATTAAGGACTGACTTTCATGTAGTACGAAATCAGCGGTGGTTTCATGGCGAAAGATATGGTCGAAAGCCTGACTGACAGTTTACATCTACTGGTTCTAGATCATAAAGGCAATGACATAGCTAATGTACATACTGACTAAAGCTGGTGTCCTGGTAGATCACGACGCTGCTGTGAGCCTACCAGTCTCACTGGGATAGGTGTAGCACGCACAAGAAGTAATATTGCTTCCTAAGACGAATAGGCTTTGGTGATAACTAAGGGCTGTACTATAATGAAAATTTGACTTCAATAGAAGATAAGAAATACAATAAAATCTGGAAATTGGTGAAGAGAGTGGCACACATAATTGGTGAGTGTGAGAATGAAGGTTCTCCAATCAGGATAAAGGCCATTTTAGTTGAAAGTTAGGAACTTATGAACGCGTTTATCAATATAAAGCACAACAAAGAGTATAGCTTTGCAGCTCTGGTCGTATGTAATGTATCTGTTAGCACATTGGTCGTAGTATCGTCTAAGTCAGACTTGTGGGAGTCTGGGAGTTTTACCTAACCAATGGTGAACACAGAATATTTATCGCTTCCGGTTCATTATAAAACTGACTCATTGATTGCTATAAAAAATATCTTACCAAAAAATTATTCAACAAATGTTTCGAGTTCTTTATCAAAACATCAATCGAAAATCACATCTGTCACAAAGAAATAGTATTTTTTTTTACGAAGTTAAACAAATTTTTGTGTTGTTTACGCTCTCAATCTATTAAAAATGTTATTATCAATGCAATTATGTATGTACATGCATAGATAGTGATAGAGCGGAAAGGTTATCGGACGTAGAATATTCTTCGGGTGTTTAATTAATAATCAGGTTCAATGTGCTATCCGAAATAGGCATTTACGAAAATTTCACTCGATTTTATAAGTTATTTAATTTTCTTCCAACTATGCCTACCCATCTTCGTGAGACCGGTGTTGAGAGCATCGTGAAAGCAGTGACGTCTCAACGGGTGGAAGGCCGGATGCGCACAATGGTAGTATTCCAGCGTTACTTCTCAGGAGTAGATGCCCCATTAATACATCCATAAGAATACCAAATTTTCTTTAGCCTATTTTAAGTAACAGTAATAACAGTTTGGTCTGCCTACTATCCAGCGGCGACATTGCGAGCTAGCTCGTCTACCATTTCATCGCCTTTTACAACCCTGTGAGCTGGGACCTGAGTGATATTTGTTACTTTTCTCTTTGTATGTTCTAACGCATTTGGACTTTATGTTTTCGCACTTAATTGCCGCTTGACCGCCTACCAGAAACCGGTTATATGTTCCCTTTAAAGCGAGTGCTCATTTGGCATGCTCACGACCTCTGCTTGGTATACTGAGTATGAAGCTGCCTTGGTTATTGTCGTAGCCCCAGAAGAGCCCTGCTACTGCCCTGCACATCAGTACAGATGCAATGCCGATACTCTACCAAATTTCAACAAAGTGTAGCATCATTTCGTGTAACCACTACTCTCTTACCGTGAAATCTCGTCATTCGGGCGGTGTTAAAGATGGTGCCTTGCAGCCTCAGCGGCCGCATCCGATGTTCCTCCTCGATAAGAGATCTCGGATAATTTAGTAGTTTTGCCTCAGTTACGGCTTTTTATTTCTATGCGCCACAATGAAATTGCTTCAAATGGGTTTTTACTCAATGAGCAAAATCAATCTACCCTGGTAATATCACCAGAGTTTGTTGGGTAATCTGATAAATCTGCTGCTTTCAACCGAAAACGCGCACATAGTATACGATCTTAGCTGAACGGTATGTATGGAATCCTTTGCACAGCATAATGGCGTTCGAATATCATTTCCACAAAAATCATTTTGCTCTTGCTGAATCCAGAATATCGATACGGATTTAAGTTCTTTGTCAGTCAAGTGAAGTGTCTGCCTTTCGAACATTATTGATCGACTGTTCCAAGTAAAGTCTAAATGCCCAAGCCGTTAATCTTATTAAACGATTCATGGATGAGTAACGAATCATAAACTATTTATTTTCGATTGGAATCATATTGACCTCAGCAACCAAGTCCTTTCTTGCCCATCCTGTCTGGCTTCTTCCATGGCGGCATTCATATTTTACCTCTGTTTAAACCTACTCTGATATGCCTTCAAGACCACCAGTATCAACCTGTCTCTGTAGGAAATTAAGACCCCTGCCTGCTATAAATTGATTAATGCTAGTGACGACGCGTCTCAGCCTGCAGAAGTAGCGGTCGATCGCCGCTTGGTTAGTTCAAACCACCGGCTGCTAAAAGCTTTGATATTTGGCCAAAATAACTACAATTCGGTTTCTGTGTCATTAACCAGTAAACAATCATCCCCCCGGCTCGAGAACTTCGAGGCTCCTTATATGAGCTGTCTCTGGCACACTGTTGAAGAATAAAGTTGTATCCATCATACTTCTATCCTACTTACAAAAGAGATAAATCCTTTGAGTATGGTTTGGTTTAACCTCAGATCTTCTCAAGTCCATTTAACTCCAGCGCCCAAGAACTCTTCGTCTACTAAACTTTTGGCAAAGAAAATTCAAGCATTCACAACTAAACCTTTCGTTTCCCTATTTTACAGGCCTACAACTATTGGTTAAATGACATGTACATGGATGTACGTTTGCCGCTGCCAATCAACTCAAATCCCGGTATGCCAATGCCGCCCGTCCGTTTCACCACAGTGCATGACGTAGCACGCTTTGCCGCACTCCTATTGGTTGGCATTATGAAGCATAAGGAATTACTCGACAGGTACACTGAGTCTAATTGAAATTAATACATTTCCAATATTCAAACTAACATTCCTTCCTACAAACACATGCAAACACTTAGCGGAAATTTGCCCATCGATCGTGCAGGTTCACGTGAAAAAAATCAACCTCTCTGCATGGCACAATACTATCGACCCCTCGGCTCATGCCGCATACCTGGCGTGGAACGCGACTCACAACACCTAGCTGAACGCGGTACGCGACCCGATGAGCATGTCATAGTCGTGTGTCGCAATCAAATGTATTGTGTCTACCTGAAGACAAGTCAAAGTGGTAAAATATCAGAGACTGAGCTAGCTTCAAATATCTTGCATGTGCTTAGTGATGCACCCTGTTTGGCAACCAAACCGCCACTAGTGGGCATACTTACCGCCGAGGAACGCACACGTTGGGCCACCAATCGTAATTTACTACTCGAGAATGAGGTAAATCAGAATAGTTTAATGCTGATTGAGCGAGCGCTGTGCATGCTATGCATCGATGAACCGCTACCGAATACCTTTAACGCATACACATTTACCGGCGCATCACCGACGGGTTATTTGGTGGGCGATCGTGATGATACGAATATGTTGCATGAAATGATACACGGTGGCGGTAGTGCTTACAACAGTGCCAATCGTTGGTTCGATAAAGTCCTACAGATTATCATTTGCACAGATGGTACTTGGGGTATTAACTACGAACACTCCTTCTCCGAGGGTGATGCCATTGTAAATGTTATTGAGAAAATTTATAAAAATCTAGATGAGAAGCAAACAGCATGCAACAGTGTAACATCGGATCCACCACCGGAACGAATACCTTGGGTCATAACACCGCAAATGGATGAGCGCATCAGGCAGGCGACAATCGCAGTGGACAAGTGAGTGGAAACTGGCAAGAGAAGTGATGTGCGGTAGACTGAAACGAAAGATTGAGGGGAAAAGATTTAAGTTTTTTTATATACAGAGAAATAAAGTGCCTCCACTTTTTTTCTAAAAAAAATTATTTGGTTTATGAAAATGTTATCGCATAAATGGCTTCATTTGACCTTGAGTACAAAATGTGCCCTTATTTCGGTTTTTTCAGTCATGTTGGCGAGTGTATCGGTAAAAAGGGGGGCGATTTCGCGTCGTATGTTGTCTTTGAGTTAAGATTGGCTTATCAACGTATGCCATGGTTTTCAAAAGTCTGGCAGTGACAAATCGGGTGATCTCGGTGGTCAGTCAAAATCACTCTTTCTCGAGAACAATGGTCGTAACAAATCGATTGTTTGTCAATTTGTATGGCATGTTGCACAGTCCTGCTGAAACCAGAATCCATTTAAACCATTTTCACTAACAATGGGCCTCACAAAATCAATTGACGGTTATGGTTGCTCCATCATGGCCTTTGAAAAAATAGATACCAGTGGCTTAATCCGCACAAACACCACATCAAACTGTAACTTTTCGTATCGAGGCTGTTCCGTAATTAATTGAGGGTTTTCAGTGGTATAGAACCGAAAAATTTGCTTATTAGAATAAGGAGTTTCAAAAAAGCTTAACAAAGCTCTGTCATCCATTTAGAAGAAATGAAATTCAATAAAGTTGATAATGCACACTAATTATTTCAAAATATCTAGGTTTCCAATTATAGGAGTTTAGGTTAGGTTAAGTTGAAGTGGCTGCCAAGCATCAAACACACTTAGGCAACCAATCAATATCCGTGTACTGCCACTGAGCATCCCATTTAGTCCCCATCCGCTAGTAAGACCGAGCAATCGACATATCTTTGCACCCACTTTTTGGTTCAAATCTCCAAACGTTGCCGTACCTAAAAACTTCAAACTATTGATGGCAAAAGACGAAAATAACTGCCTCTTCTTGCAAGCTCGTCTGCCATCTCTTTACCTTGTAGGCCACTGTTTTCTGGTAACCATACTAGGTTCAAAGAGAACTGCCTGGTCATTGAGATTGCTGTTATATTTTCTGCATCATTCCTATCTCTTTTAGGCTGTAATAACCACATCGTAGTCTTTCCTGAAGTCCATGAAAGTTATGCATACTTATCTAGACGGAACTCTCTTAATATGTTGGTATGACGATATAAATTACCACTCATACATTTTCTTTAGCTTAGCATAGCACAAGCAACGCATTCACATTATGTCTATGAGGGTTAGACCCAAAAGGACATTCATAGTCTAAGTAGGCGTAATTCACAACATAAGAGAGCTATGCTCTACACTTCTTGAGTGCTGTCCACCAGACCACTACTCCATAGAGAAGTATAGGCCTCACCACCGCAGTGTGGTGTCCCAAGTATTTTGTAGAGTTCTTATATGCAGTCTCGTTCTTGAAAACACTGGAGTTAGTAACTTTGGAGTCTCGTGAAAAATTCAGTTATAAATTATGACTATAATCTAGACAGGCTTATATCGTGAAAAAAAAATTAAATTGAATTAGAGTACCATAAAACAAAGAGAGAAATATAGGGTAGAAGTTACTGCTAGCCTAAGAGCATCGGTAACTTATTTTCTGCTGAAATTTGATTTATCTAGCAGGACAATCTCTAGTAGATCTTTCAGCATTTTCTAAAATGGATCCCATGCCGTCTTATAAGGCAATGTCTCGTGTTTTCAGTATGGCATTCTTTTTAAAAGAGTATCAGTCTAACAACCTCTTCTGTACCCATTTTGATCAAGTTACTAACGACAAAAAGAGCTTGCCAATTTCCGCAGAGTGTGACAGCTTAATACAATCTTAGAATTGATCATGATCGTAAGAGTTAAGTAGTAATAAAACTATCACAGAAGATAAACAGTTTGATAGGATACAAAACTGAGAGTCTGAGAGCTGTCAAGCCTTGAACTATCTGTGTTTATATTAATTCTCCCTTCTGGAGTGTCATATTTGCTTGCCCTTTAACCTCGGGCGAGTATTGGTGTCATACTCGTAAAGTTGCAACGCATTCGTAGAAAAATATTTCATTCATTCTAGGCTAATTTGTTTACCTTTTTATTTCCTTTTCGAAACTCTATATCTATGGCTTTGCTTTATAATTTTTTACCAAAATTTCTCTCAGAGAAAGACTCAATATTCCTTAAATTCCAGCGCGCTGAAATTAAATTTTGTTCCACACTAACTAGTTTCAGACTACTGTGCGTCGTTGAAGTATTGATTTTAGTGAAAAATTTCATGTAATTTTTTTTCCAGGGCAATTGGCGATTTTGATTTATATGTATATCGCTATAGAGGTTACGGCAAGAATTTCATAAAGAAATGCAAATGCAGCCCTGATGCCTTTTTACAGCTCATGTTACAATTGTCCTATTTCAAGTATGAAAAAAACAACAAAATATAATTTGTAACTAATATTTTCCCAACTAAATTTGTAATTAGATTGTACGGGCATCTGGTAGCCACATATGAGAGTGCTTCCACTAGACGATTTCTGCTGGTAAGTAAACTTACAAAAGTTTATAAATATTTATTTATTTCCAAATTAAACAAAAAAAAAAAAAAACATTTAAACAAATCACTCTTAAAGGGTCGTGTTGATTGTATAAGAGCTGCTCATAACGAGGCATTGGAATGGGCTAGAGCTATGTGTCAAGGTGAGGGCGCTAATGTGCCATTGGAAAGCGAAGGCGAAGAAGATGATGAACGAAAAGTTAAATTCAGCATTTATAATGTAAGTCAATATGTGTGGAAAATATAAATCGCTTATTAAGACAATTTTTTCGCCTCTTATTCCTCTTCTTACATTTGAGTAGAAAGATAAGCTGAAAGAACTGTTTCGTATTGCCTGTAATCGGCAAACTGAAATAATGGTTCAAAATATACTTGGCCAAGGCATCGACATACCACTGCTGGGCTTACGTGAAGCCAGTAAAGAGTTCAACAATGGTCAGGTGCATGAACTCTTTAGTCATGAAACGTTCCAAACTGCCAATATATTTCTGATGAGCACAAGTCAGGTATGTTTGCTTTTAATGCAAAATATTTAAGGTTGAATATTTTTATTGTCTTTATGCACATTTTTTGCACAAACGAAGCATTTTTTATTTATTTTTTATAACAATCCATAAGTAAGGGATAATCATTTTCCTATCAATATATGTATATATATTTATTTATTTTTTTTTTTTGGTTTTTATTAGATTTAATTTGATGTGGTAATGAAATTTTAAGCTATCAAAATCCAACAAATGGATTGACCTGCTGTTTATTCCGAGACGCCACCGAACGGCCGACGGATTTTTCTGAGGAGCTTTCATTTCATCTCAGAAATACACTAGGATGGCTTGGCATTTCCTGCCGAGGGTCGACCTCAATGACAAAAATATATTTTTTTTTTATTTTGGAACTCTTCGAACTCTTTCTTTAATGAATACTGATAATTTTGTTGACGTAACAAAACCGAAAATATGATATGTACTAGTTGTAGTTGTTGTAGCGGTTTTCCAACTCCGCTTAGAAACAGGCGAGACTAGTCTAAGTCATCTAGGTCACCAAACGGGAGTTTATCGGACATCTGGCGACATGCAAGAGGGCCTGTGTCGTAGGGGCTTAAGTACGAATTAAGTCGATATTAACTGTGCTAGTATTACTCGAGTCACTCGCGGCAGCTCGAGCTCTACATCTGCAATAACTGGTACTTGACTCATAGAATCCCATTCCCTGGAAAAAAAGTTCAATTGCCTACAATTTCATATGAGCTAGTATATGTAAGTCGTGTAAGTGTGGGTAATTCCACGCAAAGTAGAAAAAAATGTGGGCAGATCTCCTTCAGAATTCTTATCTCACAGAGAAATTTAAAGACGAAGGGCTCCAATGTTCGCTCTTCCAACGAGTTTTTATTTTTCAGTTAAATTGCTACTTATCTTTGATCTAAAACTGTTAAATTTTCCCATTTGTTGCTTACAGAGCGTTGAGTTAATGTAATTTTCCTCTCCGAAAATGGTCTAAAAGCAATATTTGGGCTTTTACCCTAAAATCAAGTTGCATTTAGCCTTATATTGATATATCTTGCTTGAAGTTTACCATACAGTCCCGACAACAGGAATTTCAAGAGAGTTTTACCTACTTTCGTAGAAGAAATGAGTATGGAGGACTGTCTGTTGAATTTTTACTAATTTACCCCCAACGAGTGACTTTTTCGATAACGTAGTAGGCCTCATGTTTACCAAAAGGGTGGCGGCAGTATTCAGAAAGTCATTCGACTCCTGGCCATATAAATATTTAAAATGTTAAAAAATCTTCTTTAAAATTAAAATATAATGTAAGATCTGTTGCCTCGAAATCCCCATAAAAATTCATCGGCCGAACGGAGGCGGCTAAGGTGAATGCGAGTATTATCTTGTTGAAAAAATTGAGTGTCCTCAAGCAAAGAACTTTCAGCACTTTAAGAATTCAATAGCATGAAAGAAAAGCAAGCCATGTTACCCCACATACACTAAAAGCATCCCAGACCATTATTGAGTTAGTGCCAAAATCCAGTTTGCAAAAATAACGGGTCTCCAGCCAGTCAAAGTTGAAATCTTTTTCGTGTGAAAAAACTATTTAAATTTAGTTAAAATGTTCCTTCACAGACGTGGACAAATTTTATAAAATTTCGCAACTCACACGCCTCCCAACAAACAAAATCCCCGCTTGTTTATGATGGGCTTCCAAATGGAGCTCGGGCTTCATACTTGCACAGACTGTAGTCGGGTTATTATTGACTGCATGCGATATGGTTGATACTGACGCATTTATTTAGAGATAGTTTCATTAAAATTTATATCGATCGGGTCAGAAAGACGAGTTCATTTGATTTAGCCATGTACGACTGCCCATCTGTTTTAACACAAACTAGTCTCTCAGATTTTGAAATATTCCAATCAAACTTGGCGAGTAGGTGTATTTTTATGCAGATCTGATGGCTGTAAAAAAGGGGTTTTCTTTTAAGAGATGTTACTTTGAATAGCGTAGATTTCACTTTTGAAGCTGACTGATGAGGTCAATTTCCACCTCGTCGGTGAGCAAAACTGACGCATCTGGCGCACATAAAATCCAAGATTTAGTGTTGAAAAGCCTCTCCATACTCAACAAGTAAATGTTTCGTACGGTTTATGGGCCGACGGGATCATTGGACCATACTTTTTCCAAAATGAATGGATTACGCTGACGATTAATGATATTTTATCGATCTTTTAAGGAAAAAATTTCCAAACCTTATGATCCCCGGGCGAGGTGATCGCTATTGTTCACCGAAATCTTGTGATAAAACACCTTGCGACTTCTTCCTGGCGAGCCACCTGAAAAATGAGGCCTACCCCGACAGTCGAACGACGAACGTAGATTCAAGATCTCGAATATGGAAATCGTGAAGCTATTGAGCGCATACAACAGCCACTTTATAAGTTGATGAATACGGTCCTGTAAGCGTAGCCGTTCGGACCATTTGACTGACATTGTTGTCCATTATTAATGGCATATCTTCCTCTTAACATTGAAATAAACAACCGATCGATTCTCTAAAGAAATGCCATTTAACTAAGGAATACTCGCACATTCGTTTATTGCTCGTTGCTCGAAAGCAATTCGAGCTTTTTCGACTATTTTGAGCAAAAATCAAGACAAATTTACACACGGTAGTAGCGAGAATACAAAAACAACATTGTGTAATCGATGTTTCAAAAAGTCAGAAACGAGATTCGTTCATTATATTTTGTTGGTGAAAAAAAAGTTCGTAATATCAAAACCTATTTCTCATGAATTTTGTTTTTCACTGAACTTCAATCTATAATTTTAAACTTATTTATGCAAAATGAAAAGATCATTAACTTCAATGAAGAAATTTTGAAAAAGTAAATCGAAAATTGAGCAAGGAACAGGTATCGAGCGGGTCATGATTTACTAAAATACTGCCCGACAGCTCTACTAAGAGCATGAGATTTGTTCGAATATGAGGTTTGGGATGAAAAATCCGCCAAAAAAAAAGCGTCAAATTGGAGGATCATTCAAATAGCCTCCTCAAACCAATATTTCATATACGAGAATTAATATTTAATCAGAAAGTCAAATACCACAATCTGCGAAACTCTCGATTTTTCTTTGGAAATCTGATAATTTATTTTAAATTTTATGCAATTCAGGATATGTACTCGTATCCACATTTTCATTATTTTAACTTTTAATAATGCTTACAAAAACAAATTTAAATATCATACCAATAATTATTTATTGCACTTTCTGAATCACCTTTTTAATGCTCACTTTTATAATTTTTTTTGTGCACACTTGTATTTTAATCTTTCAGGAAAATTCGAAACTTACATGCCTTACATGTATGTATATATGTATATGTATATATATTGCTTGCACCAACTCCAGAAGTACTGCACTGTATTATTTCTCTACTCTGCACCAATAAAACCAGGACAAATGCGTTCTACGCACCACTCAACTACATATGTATATGTATTGGTAGATTCAGAGCACTCATTATATGTGTATTTGCACTTACTTCGCACATGTACAAATGTATGTGGCTTGATATAGACATATAGAAGCTAGTGTAAGTCACTTTTTCGTCACTAAATCGTAATAAGCACAAAAAACAACAAATCGCTTAACAAAAACAAGAAGCGTTTCCAAATTACTATTAACTATATAAATATATGTAAATATGCATATTATATATATAAATAAATAGGTGGCTACAAAATCGGATGCTTTCATGGGTTACGGCGCTGTTACACCACGCGGTTATGGCTGCTCTTATAATCCACATCCGGATGATATCACCTTTTGTATAGGCGCATTCTTTTCCTGTGAAGATACAAATACAACACGCTTTGCCAAATCGCTACAAGAATCACTGGACATGATGAAGGATCTAATGAAGGATGAGGCGGAACCATTGAAATGAGAAATGTAAAGGAATGTTTAACGTTGTTGAAAGAGTTGAGAAAATGTTTAAAAGAGTTAAATAGAATATATAAAAAATAAGAGAAGAAAAGCAAGAAATAACAAAACAAACAGACAAATATGCATACATATCAGCAGATGTACCTTAACAATTTAGTGAAAATTTGTTGAATTTAGTTAAATGTATTATATGTATATCTAGTGTGTATGTATAAACATATATAAACAAATATTTAATATACACCTACATACATCTATATCTATGTATGTATTAGAGAATTTTATGAGATTGTTGAAAGTATTATTGTTGGTTGAAGAAAAAAGGAAATATATACAATATATGCATATGAATGTAGTAAAAACGGAAAGCAAAAACATTTATTATATATATGTATCTGTGTAGGATTGCACAAACAAATACTATAATATTTCACCCGGAGCGAAGGAAGACGAGAAAGCAAACAATTGCCTTGGAAACCATCACATAAATATTATTTGTTATATTACAGTAAAGGTTCCATTTACAAATACAGAGCATTAAAATATTGAAATTTAGCAAAAGCCAAAATGCTTAGAAAAAAAATGTTAGTAGAGATGGTTAAATGGTTTCCATCATTTCATTAACAATTGACGGGTTAATGTATTTTAGCAAAATGTTCCTTGTATAATTTAAAACAAAAAATTTATATAAACTATACTAAAAAGATAAATATTGTAGCGCAATTCATACCTAAAAGAGGTTAACACTTCATACATAAAAAAAAACATTAATTGAACAATAACTACGAGTGTGACAGCCAAATTACGTGGCGTTTTCAGGAAAATAATGAGAGTTTTAATTTTTGTACAAAATATTATTTTATTCAGCTACATTAAAGCTTCGTATATATATACAAAGTTACGACAGCCGTTGACGTCACCGAGCCAACTTCGTTCTTTTACAGTGGACCAGACTTGATATTTATATTATCAGAAAACGTAGTTTTATTTTTTTGTTAAAAAATGCATTGATTTCCTGCATCAATGAATACAGCGAGCATAGCTTTCACGCTCGACCGCACTTGTCGAACCTTTTCCGAACTTTGGCGAGCATCCGCTGCGATGATTCAAACTTACTTTCAACGTTGTATCGGTAAAACCCATGTGGCATCACTGGTTTTTGGAATTTTCAACAATTTCGGAAGAAATTTTTCTGTAACATCTTTCATACAAATATCATTAAAAAATGTTCTGACATAAACCAATCGGTATGCCAAAGTTATCAGCAATATATATCTATAAGTATGTTTGAACTATCGCCCATAACGATTTTCTTTAACTTTTCTACGATTTTAGGGGTTGTTGACATGCTGGTCATACATGACGTTCGATATCTTTACGGCCTTCTTGAAAACGCTTTCAAACTTTAGCTTTGAGTTGAGTTGAGTTGAGTTGAGTTGATGCGGCTGCTGGTCAACCCCATAACGCTTAGGCCAATAAGCCCATTGTGGTACCGCTGAGGCTCCTGCCGTCACCTTCTCAAATGATCGAACCAATGTTCACTGAGGCCAACTTAGCGAGACAGTCGAAGAAGTATTTTGCAAGAAACTTGTGTCGCGCGAATGTCAAGGCTAGCCAGTGACCAGAAATCGTTAGATTAAAAGCCCATCCCTATCCCGTGAAGCCCCATTAAACAGTGTCCAGTTTTTATACCCATCGCTATGCAAATGAAGATTCGGTCCAGAAGTATAAGATGTTGATTTTTGTGGATTTTTTCATGTCCATTTTCGACCATAGCTGTCTGGTCACGTGACACGTGATCTCGTTCAACTATCGTGAGTCAGCTTCCCTGGTGAAGGACAATTTGAGCATTTACTTAGCAGTGCATGGGGATAAACCAGCATCATGTGTAGATATAAGGGTTCCTTACCTTGGTAATTCGTCTGCCATGCAATTGTCTGGGATGTACCTGTGTCCAGGTATCCAGACCACGGCGGTACGGTGCATCGTTAAGAGTTTGTTTAGCTTTACTCACAGCATTTCGCGCACTTCGTTACAGTTTCCTTCATTTTTATGCAAAAATTGCATACTTTTTTTTATCCATTTCTATTGAAAATCGCAGAGCTCATAAAACTACGTCTGGTCTTAAAAAATGTCACAGATAAAATCAACAATGAAAAAAGCTGAAATTTGTATCATACATCTGAAGTATATGTACCAGCATAATGAAAAGGAATTGATAATAGGACTCCCCAAGACCACGAATTTTAAAAATTCTCTTTCTCTTTCAAACACACCTCATCATTAACTCTCTTTAAATGAGCATTGCTTAGGAGGTAAAAAGAATCAAACAAAGAGAAAAAGTACGAGTTTAGAACAAGCTCTATTCCATCGGGTGCAACCAAAATATTTTAGTTTTATATTGTCTTATTTACCTCCAAATTGGTAGTAGTAGTTGGTATTTCAATTATTCTGAAACATGCTTGCTTCTTGAAGTGCATTTGAATTCGTAAGATTTTGTAAGATCTGCCCATATTGGTCAACAAGCCGGTAATTAGAACTAATATTCTCCAAAGGACTTCACCGAGGTAACTAGTCCAAAAGTATAGTTGAGCTAATACACAAACATAAACTTCCAACTAAAAACAGGCACTCGAGATGTATTCAAATCTTGGAACACCTATAAATTATAAATTTAAGGTAAAGGAAAATGCAAACACACTAAATGAATAGTCAATTAAATGTACAAGAGAAAAAGAAATATAAATAAAATTAAAAATTAAAAAAAAAAAATCATTTTTGAAATTTGCGTTGTTGCATAAATTGTTTAAATGCTTGTTGTCAGCTTATAAACGTGAACATTTACAAACATAATATGGAAAATTTACTAGACAAAAACTATTGGAGATTTCAAAGAAGCAATAAAATCACATATCATAAATTATATAACAAAAAATTTGAATTGCTAATATGAAATGTATATACCTATATTTGTTATAATTAAATTACCATATACATACATATATGAATGATGTTAAATTAGAATATATTGTCTATTAAAAAAAAATTAAATATTGGTCATAAGGACAATTTTATGGAAAGTCCCCTACTAATTATTGTTATGTTATACTTCTAAGCAATCCACTGAGGTTTGTGTATTGTATTTAAAAGTGTTTTCTAACAGTGTTTTATATAATTAAGTTGTAGTTGTAATTGTCTATCATAACAATTATAAGAAGTGTTGAGCAGAACAGCGAAAATTAGTTTATTTTTTATTTAACTGAAGAACTAACATCGATTAATCGATAATTTCGATTAATTTTTGTAAATGAAGAGAATCATGTTTTAATTATTTAGGAGATCTCACTATTGATTTCAACCAATTATCAAAGCACTTTTGCCACTCTGATTGTGGTAACTCCAAAAAATGCTTCTGAGCGCAAAAACCGCCTCTTCAGGCTTCAAAAAACGTTGACCTCTCAGTTTATTTTCTACGTACGGGAATAAACGGAAGTCATTTGGTACCAAGACAAGATTATACGGTGAATGATCCATCAAATCAATGTTTTGAGTACTTAAAAATGCAGTTATCTCAGACGATGAATTAGAGCTCACATTGTCGTGGTGAAGAGTCATCCGTTTTCAGCTGGTTGTTTTTCCTGAAAGACAACTGGCAAACAAATGTTTGAGCAGCACTCAGAATTTACGGTTCTAGTTTGTTCTACTGTAGGGACGTTTTTGAGTTTTGTCAACATTTCTCTTGACCAATCGACACGAGTCTGGGATCCAGCGTGTACAAGATATTTTTAAGTAAAATATTCAAAACATATTGAATGTATGCTGGGTCCCACTAATGTCTAGAGTTGTGTTAATCTTACGATTGGTCTCATGATGATCTTGCAATATCATTTGGCGCATTATATCATTTGTTTCCGGAACCAAAACTGATTTGAGATGAGCCACAACACAAATGGCACTCGACTTCCAAAACCTTCTGAGTATAAGTATATATAATAATTACAGTATATATTAGTTTTGTTGCAAACATGGCACACCTAGTGCACAGGATTTTATTATGCTTCTACCAAACATGATTCGCTCTCATATTAGTGTTTCGCTCTCTCATTCGCAATTGCCAGCGAGTGAGGGAATCATATTATTAACAGTGGATAACCAAAAATTCAGTGCGAATTTCTTAGGAACTGTTTGTTACGCAAATCGGAAGTTTATATTATTATTATTTATAAAAAAAAATTCTAATTTTATTCTTCACTGAAGTACCAAGCGGTAAACTCTAGGAGATCGCAAAGAAGGAAAACAGTCAGACCGAAATGTTAAAATAGTCACAATGTTTCGTGCAAACGTGGTGATTCGCTATAAGAAATTGAAAAAGCAATTCGCGGTTATCGCGGCGATTAATTTTTAAAATACATTCCACTCGCACTAGAAAACGGCGGTTCTCCGTAGACTGTTGCAGGAATCTAGGAAGTGGATTTTCAAGTGATTCCTTTCATTACTTGCTGAAAATATAGCTCAGCTCAATTTCTTTTTTTTTTTTTTGTAAATAAATGAGTTAAAGATTTGCCGGCCGAAAAACAGATAAATAAAAAAATTCGGTATATTGAAATTACAAATGTAATGTAAACCGTTATATAACGGCATGTCGTGCAAATGATCTCTGCAAAAGTCATTTGATGTTTTGTTATCGTTTATTAATTGTTGTATATTTATTATTGAATTAAATTCATATACATACACACATGTTATATTATTGTTTGTATACAAACAGTCATACGTACATACATACAATCGTTTATAAATAAATATTATGAAAGCCAATTATGCTAAATTTCTTGGAAATTATTTAAAGGAACTGTGTTAGATAATTAAAATTTAGAAAATATAAATAAATGTTAAATAATTATTTCAAGGAAATAGTAAAAAGGGTTAAGAAAGCTTTATTGGAAGTGAAAATTATTTTAAATATTCGTTATGCATATATGCACTGCTCATTATTAATATAATATTTACATACTCCAGAAATGTTTGGGGAAATCAAAAAATTAATATTTTAATAATTAGTAAATTTCGACTTATGCCGAATTATGAAAATGCATGCACATAT